GACCCCCCCTTTCCAATGTCCTCAGCTGGCATAGCTCAATAACAGCCTCATACACACTTGTATTTAAGAGAAAAAGAAGCAGTGTGTCAGACCAGAGCTGATTACTTAATGTACCATACCATGTTCAGAATTGGTGCTGACACTGTCCTTCCTTCCGGAGGGGGGGTAAATGATGACCATTTACCCCCCCCTTTCCAATGTCCTCAGCTGGCATAGCTCAATAACAGCCTCACACACACACTTGTATTTAAGAGAAAAAGAAGCAGTGTGTCAGACCAGAGCTGATTACTTAATGTACTATATTATCTAAAAATACTTTCTTGGCGGCTTACAAATATCATGAACTATAATATATCAAAACATAATTTTATTAACAAATATTAGGCGCTTGCGAACACGCCCGAGCTCATCACTAGTTCTAATCACATCACATTACTACCACCACAAGTACCCTCAATGGCGGGCTAAAGTGTAATTATAATCCAATGAAAAATAATTGTTTCCATTCAGTTGATGTGAATTGTTGCAGTGGGAGGAGGATAATTATCAAAAAGGTTTCATATATCCACTTCATTAGATGATACACAAGTTGTATATGCGTCAAATGCTCCAACCACTTACAGGTGAAACTCGAATAATTAGAATATCGTGCAAAGTTCATTTATTTCACTAATGCAACTTAAAAGGTGAAACTAATATATGAGATAGACTCATTACATGCAAAGCAAGATAATTCAAGCCGTGATTTGTCATCATTGTGATGATTATGGCTTACAGCTCATGAAAACCCCAAGAACCCCAAATCCACAACCTCAAAAAAGTAGATTATTACATGCAATCAATAAAACAAGGATTGTACATAGAACAATATCGGACCTCTGAAAAGTACAAGCATGCATATGTACTCAGTACTTGGTTTGGGCCCCTTTTGCAGCACTTACTGCCATTACTTTTGCACGATATTCTAATTATTCGAGTTTCACCTGTACACCTTGAACCCGAAACCCTTTGCCATATCCAGGGGGAGAGCAGCAATTATTGGAGAACCAATATTACATATATTTACAATGGATCTGCTCAACATATACAGTATACTGATCACCAAAATATCTTGATAAAATCTAGTTGCAATAAATTGGTGGTCAGGGACAAATCATACAGAGATTATGAATACCAAGCCAAATTGTCCTGGTCCATTTTATGGTGCCCCAATACAAGCAAAAGAGTAATTGCTCCAGTACCCCCAAAACTACCCATTTAAAGGGGACAGCTTCTTCCTGTGTGATTACTGAGGAGCTAATATATAAAACCTCTGCCCAGCTATAAGCAAGCATAGCATTATGGCCACTAGATGTAGCCAAGGAGGATAGGAATTACTTCTCGGCTTCATCTCGTGTCAGTAATGCCATGCAAGCGACATTACCTCAGCAATATACTGGAAGGAAGTTTTATAAATTAGCCGCCGGGTGTACTATGTCTAACTCTGGCACCTGTTGTACCGCACAGTCATAGACCCCCAGCAGGACTGCTATAACAGGATAGTGTTTTAGTTAATACAAAGATTTAGACAACATACATACTTTGCTTGATGCACTGCGGATACACAAGTTTGCCTTCGTTACACTTTGCTGTAAGTGCGTTGTCAGGAACCAGATTTCCAACACAGTGAAATTCAACAGTATCCCCCTCAGCAATGTTTAAAGGGGCATTGTTCAAGGTAATTCCATTTTTTAACATGTCTTCTTTTGATATTGTACAGCTATCTGAAATTAGAAGTAAATGTTATTATCTAAACCACAGTCATAAGATCTTTTTAAAGCAACTATATGTGAAATTAATGATTGCAGGCTAAAATAAGTCACATGTCCCTAATAAAAGTAAAAACAAAAAACCTGTAGTTGATCCAAAGGAGGGAAAAAAGCACTGAGGGCTCATTTAAAGCTATGTGCATATGTGTGGCAGCATGTGTGGTAAAAAACACACACATACGTGTTAATAGGCCTTTTGGCACACTAAACCACTAAACTGCAGCACACAGATGTGAACCAACCACATTGGAGAGAATATATATATAAAAAGATGAGAGGGTAATAAATAAATGTTAAGTCCAGTAAAGTATTATTAGTCACAACGAAACCTCAGACGGCATAGCCAATGCGTTTTGTGGGTTCACAAATTCTCCTTCATCAGAGACAAAATAGCATAACATACAGGTGAAACTCGAATAATTAGAATATCATGCAAAAGTAATTGCAGTAAGTGCTGCAAAAGGGGCCCAAACCAAGTACTGAGTACATCTGCATGCTTGTACTTTTCAGAGGTCCGATATTGTTCTATGTACAATCCTTGTTTTATTGATTGCATGTAATAATCTACTTTTTTGAGGTTGTGGATTTGGGGTTCTTGGGGTTTTCATGAGCTGTAAGCCATAATCATCACAATTATGACAAATCACGGCTCGGATTATCTTGCTTTGCATGTAATGAGTCTATCGCGTATATTAGTTTCACCTTTTAAGTTGCATTAGTGAAATAAATGAACTTTGCACGATATTCTAATTAATCGAGTTTCACCTGTATTGTAAATAAAAACAATCTATAACTAAATCTGAATGGCCTATAGGTGGTAAAAATTTTAGGATTCATCCAACAAAGTATTTGCTGGGTCAGATTTCCGAAGCTTACTTACGAAGCAAAGCAAGCTTTCCATGTGCAGTGGTAGACCTTAGGGAGGTAGACTTCCAAACATTGATAAATAATTTATCAGTTAAAAGATGTTATTCTGACTCAGCACCGTTATATTGTTCCCAGTTAGGGTCTACAACCCTGTGTAAGGACTGTCCCCCTGTTTCCAGTGTAGTATGGTTCCCCCAAGTGTAGACTGCCTAGCTCTGAGTCTGCTTATCTGTCGTCTGACTATTGTGGCTGCACCTAAAGAGCGTCAGTCAGTTTGCAACATACTTCTCAGAAATGTCATTGCCAGTGAAACTTAGATGTCAAATAGGAATATTTGGGGGTTGCAGTTAAGATGTCTACAAATTTAGGACCGTGCCTGCCTGAGTGTGTTTTACAGTTCTCTATAATTTTTAACATCACATTACATAAATATGCACACACGTATTAAAATATAGATTAGTACTAGTATTAGGAGGTCTGCTCTGTATAAAACTATTAAGTAAAGCTCGGACTTACCAAAACTTTTCTTTGCACACTTTGGGTAGATTAATTTTCCTCTTTCACATTTGGTTGTTAAAGTTGAAGGAGATGTCTGTAGTTGATATCCAGGTAAGCACAAAAACTCAATTGTTCTGCCATGTTCAAAATAAAACCTTTCACCTACAGATTGTTTTAACTCAATATTATTATTGAACAATTCTCTTTGCCCAACTGTGCATGGCTCTGTAATCAAATCATAAATATCATAATAATTGGCATAATGTCACTCCTGATATACACCTAACATAAGACATACACATTACATTAGACAAAAATCTGAGCAACTGTGGGATTTTTACAGCAATTGATTTTTTCTGTGTTTTTGAATGTTCAGTAGACTTTGGATTGTTACATTAACATTTTTTTTTCTAGAGAATAGATCTCTGCCTTGAATTTTTTATAGGCAGCACCCAAAGGTGGATGGGAATATCCAAAACTCCGTAATTTATTGCAGATTGGTCATAGTGAAGTGTATGTAAACCCTAACGATACACTTGATTGTCAGAAATTTAGAGCTTTTTTGTGTCCTATGCATACTTTCTGTGTTATCTCGAGATGGTCCAGCACAACAACTGGTCTCCATGTTGGGCAGTATATGATAGTGGGAGGATTTTATTAAAAGACAACTGCCAGCCCACAACAATTGAGTGAATTTCTGGCAGATCAACAAGTTCTGTACTTGCAGGATCGTTAAAGGGATAAAACAGGGGGACATTTGCATGAATTGCATAGATGTACTGCATATGTTTAAGTTGCCAACAGATATAAAAAAGCCAAAATTTGTCCCTTTTAAAATAACACTAAAAATAAGATTTTTGTCTTTATCATGGAGTACAGTAAAGACACAGAATCATGCAGTATTAACTAGGGATGCACCAATACCAAGTAAAGTACTCGGTACAAGTACATTTACCGATACTTTTCGAGCTCTAAGACTAGACTAGAGACAAATTCAAAAGTTGGGAGGCAGCTGTCATATGTAAGGAGCACACGGAGCTCCTGGGATTTGTACATCTCTGTTTTAATGTATGATTTTGTTTTTATAAATATAAATAAAGTGATGCACCGATACCAGTTTTGCGAGTACAAGTACTGGTACTTGCCCAAGTACTTACAAGTACGAGTACTGATACATTTTTGTTTATTGTCATGTGACAATACATGTGTCATGACATGTGTCAAACAATATCGACTAATGATTTCAGGACACTGGTGGAGCACCAGAGCCAGGTCCCAACTGCAACAGCTGCAACCCTGGTAGTTCTCATGAAAATGGCAAGTATCGGCATTGGTACTCGAAAAGTATCAGTGCATCCCTAGTCTTAAGCCTGGGTTATATACTTCCATCAGGGGATTGGACACTGGAAAAAAATTTAGCTGCAGGGACAGACCCCATAATACCACTTCATCTCCCTGCAAGCCTCAGTTTTGTAACAAGCAATAGGGAGACCGGGTGTCCTGCGTCCTGTACCATATTCCAAGAAAAAGATATAATGGGTAAGTCAAAAATCCTATTTTCTTAATAATACAGTACAGCACACATGATCTTTGGTCTCAACTCTAAAACATCCCCAAGCAGTCCAACTAAAGGGTGGATAATGCAGAAAACAAACACCAGCAGGCCCACAACAGACAACAATAATAAAAGAACCTAAGATAGCTCATAGGTCAGCTTGAAGCACCCTACGCCCTGAAACTGGCACCAGTAGAGGCCTGAAGAGGTAACACTTAGAAAATGTGTGCACTGAAGACCAGACAGCCTTGCAAACCTGGGAAACCTGATAAGAGCCACTTGGTAACACTTAGAAAATGTGCGCACTAAAGAACAAACAGCCTTGCAAACCTGGGAAACAGTTGCTTGATGCTAGAAAGCCCAAGAAGCACCAACTAACCTAATAGTATGAGCTTGAAAAGGAAACCCTATCCTTCTAACTAGAGGTGCACTGAAATGAAATTTTCTGACTAAAACGAAAAATAAAAAGATTGTCAGTCCGAAAACAAAAATAATTTTTTTCTAATCTTTTTCTAACCCGGCGGCACCTGTCAGAAGGCAATGCAAACAGCGGGATTCCTCGATCGACACGCTGTTAGTGTTGATGGAGGAATCGGGTCTATTTTTTTCCGTTCAGCCCGGGGGTTGAATGAAAAAAATAAATCAGTGTATGGCCAGCTTTAGTCTGGTCGCTGGAGCATCTCTCTTCCTCCACTGCAGGGGGCTAGGAATCACATCTAATACAGTGTATAGGATGCAAGGACACCTAGGGACATAACATAGCTGCAGTGGAGAAGAGAGGATGGATGGAGTGTCCCCAGCTCCCAGGATTGGTTAGGTGTAAGTTTTTTTCCTACCCTAGGTAAAAATGAGCAGTTAACCCTTGCAATGTGGGGGTAGTCCCACTGCAAGGGTAAGTAAAATTTCTCCCCGATTTCTTTTTTAATGGTAACACATTTTATCACTTCAAAATCATTCCTGAAAAAAGCCAGCTTCAAAATTGCTAGCTTTTTCAGTGTTTTCTGTCCATGGGCTTCTTCCATGCATACATTTCACAATACCATTAAAGGTGAACTCCAGGCAAACATCTTAATACAATAAAGTAGTTGTTTTGCCTGCCAACGAATTTTTGTTTTTGTCTATACAGTTCGGGCACAGGTCTGCAACACAGCACAACCCTATCTGGCAGTGTTGCAGACATGATTTTTCTATGCTGCAGTTAAGTAATACTTACATGTCTTGTTCCTCCCCAGACTGTAACTGAACAGTAAAACCAAAAGCAACAGACTTATGAATTCATCAGTAGGTCACTTTGCCAACGATCAGCATACCCTTTGCCAACACATGAGCACTGCAGCTCATAAAAAAATATTCAATTGTTTATTAATAAATATATTGTATTCATTTGTGTCTTTTAAATCTGCTTAGAGCTCAGCTTTAATATGGCAAAAACATTTTTTCTATTCTTACCTAGACAAAATGGCGGCTCTGTCCAGAGTCCACTTCTGCAAGTGATTGCCAAACTTCCCACAGCTGCATAATATTTTTGGCATTGATATTGCACTACAGAGCCAGAAATGTATTCTTCCTGGACTGTTTCTTTCACTTCTCCATTTGTGATGGATGGTGGGGAAGCGCAATCCTGTCCTTGTTCTTGAATATTGAAGAACAAAAAAGTTGAGAGAGAGAAAATAATAAGGCTAAGCAAACAATTTGCAATATGGATTCAAAAAGTAAACGATTACTCTATTTTAACCATTGGCCAATGTGGTGCCTATATTTAAAAAGTGATCCAAGTCTTTATCAAGTAATTACAGACCTGTAAGTTTAACTTCAATAGTTGGCAAGATACTTGAAAGTTTGATCAAGGATCACATGCAATTGTTTTGCTTGAAAATAATATCATAAGCGACAGTCAGCATAGATTCACAAAAGACAGAAGTTGTCAAACAAACCTACTTTCTTTTTATGAGGAAGTGAGTAATAAATTGGACAGAGGAATGGCTGTGGATATAATATACTTGGACTTTGCAAAAGCGTTTGACACAGTTCCCCACAGGCGGCTAATGTATAAGTTAAGGTCAGTAGGTAAGAGTATTCAATCTGTAATTGGATAGAATACTGGCTTAAAGACCGTATTCAGAGAGTGGTGATCAATGATTCATACTCTGAAGCAGATGTACAAAGCATTAGTAAGACCTCATCTGGAATATGCAGTTCAGTTTGGGGCACCAGTTCACAAAAAGGATGTTGTGGAACTGAAGAAAGTGCAGGGAAACTGAGGAGAGATTAACTGACCTGAATTTGTTCTCTCTGGAGCAGAGACGATTAAGGGGGGACATGATCACTATGTATAAATACATAAATGGTCCCTATAAAGAGCTTGGTACCAAATTATTCACTTTAAGGTCACTGCATAGGACAAGGGGGCACTCTTTGTGCCTGAAGGAAAAGAGGTTTAACCTTTGCATATGTAAAGGATTCTTCACAGTTAGAGCTGTGAAAATGTGGAATAGACTCCCCTAGGAGCTGGTTCTAGCTAGCTCAGTTAATTGTTTTAAAAAATCTGGATGTATGCCTAAATGCACCGAATATTACTGGATATTGAGTTCTTATAGGTATATTGAGCATCAGAGATTGTTAAGCATCAGAGATTGTTGATCCAGGGAATGTCTGATTGCCCTATGGCAGGCCCGCCGGACCTTGTAATGTGGCCTGCACAGCAGCCACCTCATTTTGCCATGTCTCATGGCCCTATGTGATACATCACTGCAAAAACCCATGCCGGCCACAAGATGGTGCTCCGTTCCATACCAATTGGCTTAGCCGATCCAGATGTTGGATCTGCACTTCGGGTCGGCCGAACATGCTGTACGGCCACCCGATGTACGGCTGATTTCAGCCGATATACAGCTGAAATCAGCCGTACCAGCCTGAAGTGAATTAGCCGAACAGCGTTCGGCTCACTTCGCTTTAGGTCGGTCATTCACTCGGCTGCCTGTCCAAGCCATTTTTCAGTATTCAGCGCTGCAGTACTTTGACTGACATTTATTCAGTCATGTAACGCCATATCAAAATGAATTTCATATCATTTTTGGGGGACAGACAGAGCTTTGTTTTGGTGTTATTTAATCACCACTGGGTTTTTTAGACTGCTACAGCTTAAATATTGAAACTAGACATGTAAGCAGGCAAAAACATTTGCTAACTTTCATTTTGATTTTTTGTTCTTTCGGGTTTTGGGTCCCAACGCTGTTTCATTTTCCTTATTTGGATTATAATTTAGTTTCATTTTAAGCGTAATTTGGATGATCCGAAATTTTGTTAAAAGAACATTCAGATTTGATTGCATTTGGCCTCATTGGAATTTGGACATTTGGCTGCATCCAAATGTCAAAATGCAAACAATTTCATCCGAATCCGTACTGACAGATTCATTTAAAGGTACATTGCAAATTATGTAGTATTACCTTTACCATTCAGCTCACTACATGGTCAATAGTATGTAGCATTTTTAAGAGGTATCCCAATACTTTAGAAGGGAATTGAATGAAATATACACATTTGATTGGTCCCAAATACAGAACAGAATTCATACTGATTTATTTTGGTTACCATTATGTTTGGGATCATATTCATGTGTATCGACATACGGTACATTCTCTGTGCTTTGCAAATCCAGGTAGAATGCCCATATCTCATATACAATTCATAAAGTGTAGTGTCAGGTTTTCAACAGGCAGAAAAAATGTATTATCTGCACAACTACACAAAAAACACTTTATTGATGTCAGTGGTTAAACAGTTATGTACTAAAAGAAAAACTTGGATCAACCCCCCCCCCCCCCCCTCTTTGGTGGAAGGAGGGACGGGGGTGATCCC